ATTTTTTACAATGTTAAGTAGAAAAGAATAAATAAAAATAAAAAAAAAGTAAATGAATGAAAGATTCATTAATTATTTTAAGTAACAACTGGCATTTTTTTACTTTCTGAAGAAAACAATATGCATTATGAAAATTGTAATAATTATTATTATTATCATTAATTGCTTTGCTATCTAAATAATGGTATTTATTTTCATCTTTATTACATGTGATTAAGTTTAAAATGATACACATTTATGTTAAAAATTAAAATAAAAAATGTTAAGTAGAAAAAAAATAAATACAAAATTTTTTTTACAAAATGAAAAATATTGGAAGATGAATTAATTATTTTGAATAACTGACATTATCATGCCATCTCAATACATATTCATTATGAAAGCATAATATTTAATATTAATTATTATTATCATCATTATTTGTATCGTTTTAAATAATCACATTAATTTTCATCTGTTTTGGGCCACAAACCATGATACGCATTATGAAAGTAACATTGTTTATTCTTATTATCATGAATTGCTTTGCTACATAAATAATCACATTTATTTTCACCTTTGCACCGTGTGATAGTTAAGCTTAAAATACTACACATTTGTCATGTTAAAAATTAAGCCAAAAAATATTAAGTAAAAATAATACTAGTCAAAACTATTATGGGTTTATAATAGCTATTGTGGATCATTTCATCAGAGTACAGAAATCATAATATTCCACAACAGCACAGACAGAATTAAAGTGTGATTGTAACCAATTAATACGGTTAATTTGGCATAAATGATTAATCAATATGAGGGATAATCACACCCCTTCTGGGCGGTTAATGATTCTCCAAACTATCAGTCTGACAAACAGCATTGTATCACAGGCAGAACTGTATTGATTTATTAGCTTTGCTTTTCAAGTGAAACTGTTCCTTTTCCTCATTGTGACGTTCTGTGATTGTAATGTGTCGATCTATCCGTCATTTAGTAACGCTGTTCAAGGCTGATTCAAACATCTCATAGTAAATAACACGTTTACAGTATTTCAACAAGTTCAAACTCTTTCTGTGGCTGATCACTGTCACCAAACAGATCGTGGCTGGTATGTGTTACCACACAGACAGACAGCTAATATTTGGTTTCTTTGAGACAGCAGGCAAAAATCTGACATAATCGTGACAGAAACAGGCATATACCCGTACAAAACATTGCGTAATAGTGATCTGAGAGAGCAGACGCCTCAGAACTACTGCTGGAGTTATGAAGTTTGTTATGTTATGAGTGAATGAAGTTTCTCAACAGTAAAGGTAAGAGCAGAGCATTTCTGATCGATTGTTATTTGTAAATGGAGGGTTAAGAAGATATGTTGCTGCTGTTTCACTAACATACTTTTGTACTGGTTGTGTCAATGTAGAGCTATTCAGTCGTGTAAAATCCTGCAACAAGACACATCAGTACAAGAATATAAATCAAGAGAATGATTTTTTTAAATATATTTTTTTTTCTCTAAAGCTGCTTTGAAAGAATGTCTCGTGAAAAGCACTACACAAATAAAATTTGAAAAAATAAAAAAATAAAAAAATAAAAAAAGAGCTTTTAGAACAATTGAGATTTTTTTCCCCATTATTTTCGTGACATTTTTGCATACATAAAATATATTTAATTAAATGAAATATATTTAAATTCTAAAAAATAACATAAAAAATGGGTGGGAAATGTGCTTTACTGTCATGAAAGTAACACATTAAACAAATTATATATAATAAATAAAACTGACTCAGACTGAAATCAAAAGACGAAAAATCTGCAAAAATGTCAACAATTCTGTGTTTTTCTGTCAATATGGGGTGCTGTGTGTACATTAATGAGGAAAAAAAATTAACTTAAATGATTTTAGCAAATGGCTGCAATATAACAAAGAGTGAAAAATTTAAGGGGGTCTGAATACTTTCCGTACCCACTGTATATATATACAGTATAACATTGTTTTTTTTCTAAAGCTGCTTTGAAACAATGTGTATTGTGAAAAGCAATATACAAAAAAATACGGGATAAAATTATTAAAAATAAAGACCATTTACAATAACTTATATTTACATAAAAATAATACAATAAAAAAGAAAATTATTATTTAACTAATAAAATGTGAAATGTGTGATGCGAAATGTGCTTTATTGTCATGAAAACAACAATAAAAATTTATTTATTTATTTTTAAAAATAATTAAACACATACACATTTGTATTTGTGTGTGTGTGTGTGTGTGTGTGTGTGTAAATATATATAACTTAAAAATATATATTTCTTATGTTACAGTAATGGACAAAATTTGGGTTGGAATCTTCTGTTTATTCAGCTGCAGCGATAGGCATTTCCTGGGTTTCTTCTGCGAGGCGTATTTGGAGTTTCAGCGCGAGAGCGCCCTCTGGCCTTTGGATGGAGATTTACTGCTGATCACAGAACCGTGCTTCACTGAAAGATACGCATGGCAATCGCAGCTTCTGTCAAATCGCGATTTCGATTCCATTTCGATTTATCGTGCAGCCCTAGTTGGAAACGTGCTTTATTGTCATGAAAATAATGCCAAAATGTAAAATAATTTTAATTCTCTTTATGCAAATATAATTTCCATTGCTTTTGTGGTGAAATAAAACTTTGATTTGATTTATGTATTGGTCATCTTTCAAGAGTAAAAAACTATTTTTATTCTATAAAAGGAAGGCTGCAGATATTTTTTTTGCATCTTTTTGATTAATAATTTACAACTATTGTGTGGTGATGATAGATCATCCAGACCTGACTAATCAAGTTATTATGGTGTAAAGTAAGTGTTCTTGTATCTCATTTGCCACCAAAACATATAATATTACGTATGTAACACCAGCGGCCATTGGAAAACCCATATCACTCAACATTTCAGTCGACGACTTCTGTGCAGTTTGTAGTTAATCTGAGCGAGTCAAAGAGGAAATCAGTCATCAACACAGTGAGATCCGCAGCTCTCTCAACACCAGCGGCTCCGTTTCCAGTCTTTCTGCGCTGTTTTCTTCCTCTGATTCGACAGTGCAGGTCAAGATAAGTCTCAAGAACTTCTCAGCAACTTCCTAAACCCAACAAAGCCGCTATTAACAGACCCCGCTTGTTTTGATAGGTGTATTAGTTCACGCTTTCATTGTCTTCCCACAGAATGAGTGCAATTGATGCATGTCAGTCGACAGATTGTTCAGGAGAAACAGTTGAGATCAGGCTTTCCTATGAACCAGCTGAGCCGGGAAACATGTCGCATCTTGCTGTGAGAAGTATCTGATCTGGATACGTGACTTACAGATGGAGTCAAACGAGGATCTGAGAGGCCGTTGTTGGGTGGAGGATTTTAATGATCGTGTATTCAGAGGTTATAAATAGTAAAGGGTGCTCAGGAGAGTCGTTTACATGCATATCTTCATGGCTTTAAAAGTTTATTACTGGCGTTTGCTAAGACAAAGATTACTGTTACTCATAGGGACTGTGATTTGATCAAACCTCTAACCTCTATCTCTCTCTATATATATATATGATCTATGTGAAATAGGGCTGCACAATGAATCAAATTTCTAATCGCGATTACAATTATGGATGCCACAATTACGTAATCGTTCAAAGCGGCAATTAATCGTTCAAAGTCCACTTATGTTATTCTGCGTGCTTAAGATATGTTTTTTCTTTCTACATGTTATCTTAAGGGTTTTTCCATTGTTTTAATTTTAGTTTTAGTATAACACTATAATACCATTCATATTTGTACTTTTTTATAATTTAAAGAAGAAACCAATTTATTGGTTTTTCATTTAGTGTTTTCAGCTCGTTTATTTTCATATAGAAATACGGCATGCAGTTGCATCAAACAATGGTATAAACAGCATTCAATGTAAATTGTGATAATCGTGATTAATAACCGCAATTTAAATTTCAAGGGAATAATCGACAATTATGATTTTTGTCATAATCGTGCAGTCCTACTGTGAAATTGACAATAAATAGTAAATAATTGAAACCAGACTCAACAGCACAACAGAGTCTCAAATCACTTTACTGAGCTTAAACCATCATCATTATCATCATCATCATCATTTATAGTTAATCAGTGTCCATTAATGGTTTGAGTGATGTGTGTGACACACTGTGACATCACTCAACTAATTAATATAGAATAAAAAAATATATAAAGAAACAGAATTCACATAGTTTGATTTTTTTGTATAAATAAAGAATATTGGCAAAACTACTTGTTTGACAAGCAACAAAAACATCACTGCTGACCCCTGAAAATGAATAACTAATCCATTTATCATCAAACTACATGGCGGGTTTTCAATTTTCAAAATGCTGAAAACATGCCATATTTACAGATTATGAATTATGGGACCAATTACAATATTATTAATTTCACTGAGAGCAATGTAACTTATGCCCATTCACCATTTTATAATGATAAATTATTATAAATGACAATATTGACAATATCCCAGATTATGGGAAGCAAAAATACTGGAATGCTCTCCACATACACAGCTATGCTAAGCTATCTAAAGTAGTCATACAGTATCTGTACTGATGCCTATTTGAGATATTTTTATTATTTATAAAAATAAAAAACGTAAAAATACCATAATATTATTATTTTTTTAATGACACCATACATCAATATTTCTGTACAATACATTACTAGCACTAGAGGGCAGCATCACTACAACATGAGTTCAGATTCACCTGTTCACCTGTCAATCAACCAAACACTGATTATTACCGTCTGAACTGCGTTATAGGCAGCGTTCTACTGTTGTATAATGAGTTTTACAATCAAAGATCTCCTGAGGATAAAACAATCACATCTGGACCCAACATCCCAGCAAACACATTTACGTTGTGGCAATGTCTGTGCAATCTAACATTACAACAGTAACTCAAACTGCTAGAGTTAGCTCCCTCAGTAGTGAACAAAAGAAAATGCGGAAATAATTACGAAGATTTCTTACCTCTGATTGTAAATGTCGTAGAATCCATCTCAAGCATCACTCAAAATCAACAGATCCTCGGGTCACCAATGATTTTTCATTCATTAATTTGATTGACAAAAAAACCAGCGGTATTCATGACGTCATTCCTGTTGATGACAGATTGACTCATGGGATTTGTAGTCTCTGACAACTGCGTCTTATATGGT